TTTGCCATTCAGACCTCCAGGAAAGTTCGTGGGTGATCAAAATGTATAGCTGGGCATGGTGGCACACACCTGTAACCTCAGCACTCAGGAGGCTGAGGCAGGAGGATCATTGTGAGTTTGAGACCAGCCTGGGCTACATAGTGAGTTCCAGGTCAGTCTCAACTACATAGTGAGACCCTGTCCCAAAAAACAAACAAAAATTTATAGACAGTATCTAAATATTTTTAAAATGTTACAGTAAAAGGCACAGTGCTCTCAATCCCCCCTCAGTATATTCCTCAAATTTATAGACAGTATCTAAATATTTTTAAAATGTTACAGTAAAAGGCACAGTGCTCTCAATCCCCCCTCAGTATATTCCTCCTGGCTTTGAAAGTGCCTATCTTACTATTCTTCATTTTCCAGAACAGTCTGGAAGTCCTCTTTCATGAGTATCTTTATTAGTTGTCGTCAGAAATGTGGTGAATGCTGCTGCTGAGTGCCAGCCAGCAGAAGAGCATGGACTTTATTCATGGACTTTATTCACCGGGTCTGGCACCATGTCACTTCTGGCTTGTCCCCAAAGTCCAAATGACCATGAAAGGTAAACATTTTGAATTGATTCAGGATACTGAGGCAGCCACAACACACAACTAAAGACACTTATGAAAGGATTTTCTGAACTACTTCAGAAAGTGGCAAAAACTCGTGGTGGCCCATACCTGGAATCCCAGCACTCAGAAGACTGAGGTAGGAGGATCTCTGTGTGTTCAAGGCCAGTGTGGAATACAAAGTGACCAAAATCATGGGATAAGTGAGTTCAAAGGAAGGGGGAGTATCCTGAGGGGATTTATGGCAGGGGGTCTTTTAAAATACTAACCCTGTTGTATGTAAGCTGCATCATCCAGCTCAGTCCTCCACGTTGTCAGCTCCTCCATGGCCCGCTGAGCTTGGATTCCTTCCAGGTAGCTGCTAGTCAGTGACAGAACAAGACTTAGTGACAATACAGATTCCTGGTCATCTGCCACTGCAGGAGTCCATTGGGCCTTCTTAACTCCAGATGTCCTACTGGGGCAGGCAGAGACTTCATTAGGTCTGCATCAGTCTGGTAACTCCCTGCTCATTCCTGCTTCCTTGCATTTTCTTTATTTTTAAATCTTTTTCATTCATTCATTCATTCATTCATTCACAGGTGTTAGGGATTGGGCCAGGGCCTGACACATGCTAAGCATGCGTGCCTGCTCTCTGCCATGGAGCTACATTGTAAGGCTCCCTCATTTCCTGTCACTGTTACACCACAATAAATCAAACGTACTTCTAACACCATCTCGGTCTCTGCTTCCTGGAAAACAAAACCTGCAGCATTCTCATTTTAAAAATGCAAACAACTATAAATGAAAGAATTATGAATATTCCAAATCATAGCTGGAAGGTGATAAAGCTACTAGGAATTTTTTTTTTGTTCTTTTTGAGAGAGAGTCTCGCTATGTAGTTCAGGCTAGCCTTGAACTCATCATGTAGTGAACCTCCTGCCTTAGCCTCCCAAGTGTTGGAGTTACAGGTGTGCGTGCCTGGCTGCTACTACGCTTTTAATTTAGACTAAGTGACTTCAAAAGCTAATTACTTTTATATTATAAATCAATGTGCTTTTCAACAAAGGAAACCATTAACAGCGAAGAGACAACCTACAGAATGGGAAAAAATTTTTGCCAGCTATTACTCAAAGGACTAATATCTATAATATATAAAAAAAACAAAAAATGAAACCTCCTAAGTTTAAAATCCCAGTTTAAAAAATGGGCATCTGAAATAGACACTTCTCAGATGAAGATATACAGCCAGTAAATACAGAAAAAATGTCCAGCATCGCTAACATTTCAGCATTCCAGAAATGCAAATTCAAACAACACTGAGACTCAATCTGACAGGGAGAATGGCTGCCATCAAAAAATAACACCTTATAAAGACACTCACAAAATAGGACTTGCAGAATTGCTTCAGAAAGTGGCAAGGACAGTGGAATAAGTGTATTCAAAGCAAGAGGGAGTATTGTAAGGGATAACTAATGCAGTGTCTTTTACTGTAATTTTAAAAAACTAAACATGCACCATTTATTTTGATCACCCCTTAGTTATCTTATATGCTTGTCTGATTTTCTCGACATTATGTGAACTTAACATGCATGAAATATTTATTCCTAACTACTACTGCATAATGATTCATTGTATGAATGCTATATGTTTAAAAAAAGAAATCAATAACAAATGCTAATGAGGCTGTGGGGACAATGAAACCTCCTCCATTGTTGGTGGGACTGGAAACTGATACAACCACTATGGAAATCAGTGTGCAGATTCCTCAAAAAACTAAAAGGAGAAATTCCATTTGACCCAGGATTCCCTTTCTAGGTGTCTTCCCAAGAGAAATCATAGCACAATGATGCATGCACACCCATGTTTATAGCAGTGCAATTCATAATAGAAACAACCTCTATGTCCATCAACAGGCGAATGTATTAAAAATGTATTTGTGGAGGGGGTAAAGGGAGAGCAGGGGAATGCTGAAAAAATAAGAACCAAGATATATCATGTAAAGGTACAAATGTCCAATGATGAATGAATGTCATTATACTGTATACCTAAAATGTACCTGAAAGGGGTCTTGAGCCCCCTTTGGGTGCCCCTTACCCAATTATGCCACTCACGCACCGAGAGGTCCGGCAGGAGTCTTTATTGTAGGGAGGCGAGCAGGAGGCAGGAAGGCAGAGAGAGAGAGAGAGAGAGAGAAGAGAAGGAAGAAGCAGGAGAGAGAGAGAACAAAGAAAGGAAGGTCCTTTTATCAGTTTTGGGGTGGGCTATTGCTTATTTATGAGTGAGCTACTTTTAACCTATCACAGGCCAGATTGCTTTTATGGGCCCAGTCCTGCAGACACAGGTTTCAACTTTCCTGGACCACTGTGGCCTTGGAGGGGGAGGGAAACCAGAGATAAGGGCATGAGGTCATTTTAGGAGCCAAGATGTACCAGGAGAATGCAGCCTGTGAGGCGGCATCACAGCATACTTTAACACGATCAATTCCCTAACAGTACCAATAAAAATTTTTAAATGTGGTATATACATACAGTGGAGTACTACTCTGCCATAAAGAGGATAAATGAGTTATGTGTAGGAAAATGGATGCACCTTGAGTCCATGTTAACTCAGATACAAGTTTAAATATCACATGGTTTCTCTGATATGAAAAATGTGTATAACACACACCCACACACACCAACAAAATAAAAGATAATAGAAAAAAAGGTATTGTAATCCAGTGTGGACAATATATCTAAAAGTGTACCTTGAATTACATGTTTAGATGTTATTTGGTCTATTACACTCTGGTTCTCAATCTATATATATGATAATTAACTTTATAAGGTCTTATACATAAATGAATCTGATGCTGGAAAAGTAAAAGATGGGTGGAGGGAGGAGGGCAACAGAAAGGAACTGAAATGTGTTATGCACATGTACCAATCCCCTATAGTGAATAATTACTATGTACTGCAAATGTGTATTAATAAAAGTAAAAATAAAATCAATGTGCTTCTCCTACATCCCAAGCAGTATTGTGGATTGGAATCCAGGGCTTCTTACCTGTATCCTTAGCCTTTTTTATTTTAAGACAGGATCTTGTTAAATTGCCCAGCTGGCCTTGATCCTCCTACCTCAGCCTCTCAAGTAGCTGGGATTACAGGCATGAACCACCATACCTGGATAAATTAACGTACTCTTTAGCACATTTTCTGACTATAGTTTTCCCATTTCTCAGACTAAGAATCTCTAAGAAAATCATCCTTAGAAAAATCATTTGCTTCATCCCACATGTCAACAAATACATAAGCATCCTTTACTGACAAGTCTACTGGAATTATCACATAGGTACTTTGACAATTTTATATAAGCATATTTTCATATGGTCTAGTATTCTTTCTTATATATTTTATTAACCCAGTCTATTAATGAATGTGCATAGGAATGCACTGGGAAACAATGTATCACACTAAGAGTACAGAGTCACCCTGACTTAAGTTGAAGGCCCACAGCTGCCACTTCTTTGCTGTGTGATTTGCACAAGCCACTTAAGGCATAAGGTTGTCATGAAGATTAACTGTAAGGAAAACAGTAGTACAGTGACTGAAACAGGGTAGGTATTCAATAAACACTAGGCAGTATTTTTTTTTTTTTTTTGTACCAGGGATTGAACTTGGGACCTTGTGCTTGCAAGGCAGGCAGCACTACCACTGAGGTAAATGCCCAGCCCCCCCCAAAAAAACTTTTTGATTAAGTGCCAAGCATTGTAGTAAATCTTGGTGATTCAAAGACAGATAAAAAATGTCACTAATTAACATTACACAATGTATACATGTATTGAACATTACATGGTATCTCACTGATACGTATAATTTTGCTTTTATCAGTTCACAAATCACTCAAGCTTTGAAGAGAATCGTAAGAAGAACACTTAAACACTAATATTTTTTGTTTGAGACAGGATCTCTCTATATAGTTCAGGTTAGCCCTGAACTCACTGTGAAGCCCAGGCAAGCTTAAAACTCATGCCAATCCTCCTTTCTCAGCCTCCCAATGCTGAGATCTTTTTTTTTTTTCTTTTTTTGTGATACCGGGGATTGAACTCAGGACCTTGTGCTTGCAAGGCAGGCACGGTGCCAACTGAGCTACATCCCCGGCTCAATGCTGGAATTATTACAGGTGTGCACTACCATGCCTGGCTCTAAAAACTACATCAACTAGATCTGTGGCCAATTAATAAGCTTATAATCTCATTGGACATCAAAACTTTACTATATCAAATTACTTATTTGCATACTTCTTAGCAAGAAATAATAGGCAACACTATTAAGAAAATGTATGTCTTTAACCTTTAGTGTGTCAAATAAATTCAACATTTAAGTTATAAATTTTTAAACCATTTTATTGAACTATTTTAGTATCATTTCAGATGGTAGCAGCTGCCCTGAAATGAAACAAAGCCATCAAGAACGTTATTCAACATTCTCAATGTAATCCAGTAGGTTTTTGTTCTTGGAATATAAACTTTTGACATTATATAATCAAGCAAATAGTGGCACATACTATATATAATTCCAAAAGACTATGTATTTCTTATTAAAAAATCATTTTGCAAGTGGCTTCAGCTTTATCAACAATCTCATTGACACATTCCACACTTCATGCTCTCAAAATAAAAAACTGCCTACAACTAATTTTACTGCTATTACTGAATACTATTCAGAGTTATAGGAATTGAAGTTTAACATTTTACAATATAAGCGGCAATAAGTTACTGATACCTGCTAACAAATTCCACTCAATCTAAATACATTCATGATATGTTCAAAAAAGACATTTTGTAAATTTTAATATGCTAGTTTATATGCTGCAGTGCAAAAGAAGTGACACTAATGTTTCCTGAGCTTTAGGAAATTAACAATATGCTGACTGCTACTCTGAATATAAAATAAGCTCCTTGTTATATATACTAAGCCATGTCAAAACTATACAATTAAATTAGGTTTCCAGAGAAATGAAAAGATTAATCAGTTATGGTAGGTTAGGGAGATGAAAAGTTTTGAAAACCAAAATATGTACAACACTACAAAGGATATTATGTTTTGTTTTATGGTACCAGGGATCAAACTGAGGACCTTGCACTTGCAAGGCAGGTGGTGGCACCCTGAGCTAAATCCCCGTCCCTAAAGGATATTATGGATCTGCATGTAATACAAAGATACCTACTGATTACCAGTTGATCACAACTGTCTCTCTTTCAAAAATATTACACCAAAAGACTGTATGGTAAGCTATTCAGCATTAAATATAGCAACTTTTAGTATATTACATATTTTAACATATTCTTCCATAATGCCCAATAAGAAGTAATAAATGTGGTAAAAGATGAAAAATCAAGAAAATAAACATGCTTTAAGGAATGTTGTTGCATGGGTACTTGACAAAGGTAGTGAAAATGATTTCTCATTAGAATACTCTACATCCTCAAAATTACAAAGATCGAGTTTCTACTTCAATTTTCTCTTCTGCTTGTAGTATATCAGGATCAACATGAATAACTGGAGGTCGTAGGATAACTTCAGGCCCTCCACCATATATAGACTGTAGAAAATTCCATGTTTCTTCAGAAATTTGACCAGAATCTGCTCCTAAAATTATGTATATGTAGAAAAAAAACAATGTTAACAAACCTACATATTCAAAGTGCACAAGCTTCATAATGAACCCATCAGCATAAATTCTCTAGGGATATTTGAGACCTTCTGAAACACTGCAGACTACCAACTAGTAGTGTTATAAGCTGTCATTTCTGGTCTAGAAATGTTAATTAATTTATTTTTTTTTTCCATGTGCACAGGGGTAACACATCGTACTAAATATGTAAGGTCATATCTACGTGGGTTTGATTACAGAAACTAATAAAGTATTCTCTAAACAATGAAAAAAAGAGTAAGATAAGACTATAAGAGAGAGAAGCAATTTAAATATGTTCGGGGACCATTTTCATCTCCAGAATTAAGGATTATTTTGATGTTACATCATTGCCTTTTCTCTTTTACTTTCCTTTTTAGTTTTATTTTAGGATTCCCTATTTTTAATGTTCATACAGAGATTTCTTTAACTGAAATACTGAATAGTTTCTTTGGTGTGAAAAACTATAATAGTACACAGGATCCTAATGAGACAATTAATAATGTGAAATAGGAAGTAAAGGGCTAAAGGTGTAAGGAAAGTGGGAAGGGTGAGGGAAAGGTAATAAGGGAGAGGAAAAAAATATGAGAAACTGAAAAAATGGAAATAAAGTGTTTGTAAATGGGGAGGGGAGGAGGGGGTGAAGGGAGGGCAGGGACAAGGGGAAAAATGAGAATCAAGACCTATTATGTAAAGGTACAGAATCCCAATGATGAATGTAACTGTATTGT